ATGTTATGAATCTATGATACCACAGCATGGAATTCTGTAGCTAGAGATTTCCTGCCTGGCCCACAGTCAGGACAAATCTCTGTCACCTGCCAGTCCCACAGCTGCTCAGACCCAACCAAGTAAACACAGAGACTTATATTGTTTAAATTGTTTGGCCTAATGGCTCAGGCTTCTAGCTATCTAGTTCTTACATCTTAAATTAATCCATTTTTATAAATTTATACCTTGCCACGTGGCTCCTGGCTTACCGGCATCTTCACATGCTGCTTGTCATGACGGTGGCTGGTAGTGTCTCCCTCCACCTTCCTGTTCTCTCAATTCTCCTCTCTGTTAGCCCCACCTATACTTCCTGCCTGGCCACTGGCCAATCAGTGTTTTATTTATTGGCCAATCAGAGCAATTTGACATACAGACCATCCCACAGAATTCTTTTATTCTCTTACTGAAATTTTTATAGGGTACTCTGATAGAGAAACATGGGAGGTAGAAAACAATGTAGTGTGATAATATTACAGAGTGGTTGAAAGAAAGAAGAGAATTATAATGTGTCCCAGAAAAATTTACACTAAAAAAAATAGGGTCACAAAAAGGGGTTTAGAAGTAGCAGAAGTAGTCAGACTCTAGGTCATTTGAAAAGAAGAGCCAGTACAATCTACAGATGAATTCGGTAGATGTAAACTAATCATGCTTTTATGGATATACAAAACATAGATCTACCATATGGGTATTTGTCTTGAGGACTCCAAGTCAACACATTACAGAGGCACTTGCATATCAATATCAATGTTTAATACAGCATTGTTCCTGATAGCTAAGTGCTACAACCCAAGTTGTCATTAGCACAGGAATGAATAAGAAAAAGGTGTATATAAACTCAAGGAATTTTTTTTTTCAAACTTAAAGGAGAATAAAGTTATGTCATTTGTAAGGAAATAGCTGCAACTAGAGATGATATTATTAAGTGCATTTATCCAGTCTCAGAAAGAAAAATATCATATATTTCATTTTATTTTTGGTTCATAGATTTTCTTTACATATATAAAATCAAGACTATGTCAATAAAACTACATTAGAAATAAAAGCAGGTAGACTAAGTGCAGATCTTTTCCTTTCCCTACAATCCTCCAAGTCCAATTCCCAGTCATATCCCCAGCTCCATATCAGAACACTAGCAGCAGAATCCACCCATCTCTAGTGGATCCCAAAGACCTTCCCCTCCTAATCGGACAGTGATGGCATACTCCTTTAATCCTAGTACTTGGGAGGCAAAGCCAGGCAGATCTCTGTGAGTTTGAGGCCAGCCTGGTCTACAGAGATCCAGCACAGGCACCAAAACTGCACAGAGAAACCCTGTCTCAAAAACCAAAACCAAAACAAAACAAACCTTTCTCTCCTAACCCCTCCAACCTCCACCCTGCTCTATGCCATGCCCCAGCTCTAGCCTGCACTCCCTGGAAACCCACTGACCACTCTGGCTAGGGAAGCAGGTAAGTTAATTGTAGACCTTCACCCCTCACTCCTCTCCTCTAAACCTAATCTTCCAGTCTCATCTCCAGGTCTGTATCAGAACACCTGTGGCAGCCTACCTACCACCTCATCTTTAGTGATTTCCACAGATTCTCCCCTCCTAACATCCTTACCCTCCACTGGTTGCTTTGTCCCATTCTCTAATCCACAGAGAAATCCAGTGGAACCCACAGGCCATCTGAGAAGCCAAACAGGTAGGCTAATTGAAGATCTTCACATCTGCCTCTGCTCCTCAACAGTCTTATCCACAGACCTGAAGCAGAACACCCGCTGCAGCCTCCTTTCACCTCCTGCACCCATCTCCACTAGATCACACAGATCTTTCCCTCCAAACTTCCTTCTCCCACTCATAGCTTTTTCCCAGGCCCCAGGCCCCAGGCCCCAGGCCCCAGCTCAAAACAGTCATTCCTTGGGAGCCCACAGGCCACAGTGACCAGGAAAGCAAGTAAGCTAACTTCATATCTTCACCTCTTTCTCCATTCCTCTAAGTCCAACACCCCTACCTCTCCATGCCCACATTCCAGTCTCATCCCCTCTCTATAGTAGCCCTTCTGCTATGGCCTTTCCTCACTGATTGTCCCCATTGCCAGGAGACTAACTGAGCAGATGCTAGTGGAACATCCCACATTCCTCCCATTTCTGAAGCTTCTCCATCACCCCAAGCTCATCTTCATTCCTAAGTCCCAAGTCCCAATAACCAGAAACATATATTACCTGGAACCCCTAGGGCCCACACCTATCAGGACCCCAGAAGATTTTCCTAGAGGCAACACAGCCACCACACTCTCCTATGAACAAGAGAGGAAACAGAAACCAAGGAACAAGACACCCACCCAACAAATCAAGACCAAATACCAGCATTTAGAATTACAATCTCGAAACCCCAGATGCCTAGACACAAGCATAAAAACACAATCAATAACATCCAGGACAATATGTCTCCACTGGAGCCCAGTAACCCTACCAGAGCAGGACAATGAGTACCACAACACAGCTGAAACAAAAATAAGACCTTAAAGTAGCCTGTATAAATATATAGAGGCCCTTACAGAGGAAATTAATAAATCCCTTAAAGAAATCCAGAAAACACAGCAGTGGGAAGAGATGAATATAACCGTTAACAAACTAGTAGTGGAAATAGACTCAATAAGAAACAAACTGAGGGAAATCTAGAAATGAAAACTTCAGGAACTGTAGCAGGAACCACAGAAGCAACCTTCACCAGCAGAATGCAGGTGATGGAAGAGAGAATCTCAGGCATTAGCAACATGAAAGAAGAAAAGGATCAGTCAAAGAAAATATTAAATCTAAAAAACTCCTGGCACAATACATCCAGGAAATCTGGGACACAATGAAAAGATGAAATCCAAGAATAATAGGAATGGAGGAAAGGAAAGAAACACAGGTCAAACACATGGAAAATATTTTCTACAAAATCACAGAGCAAAATTCCCCTAACCTAAAGAAGGAGATGTCTACAAAAGTTGAAGAAGCATACAGAACATCGAATAGATTGGGCCAGAAAAAAAGTTCCCTTGGCACATAATTTTCCAAACACTAAATATACAGAGCAACAACAAAGAAGTTTAAAAGCTACAAGAGAAAAAAAAAGTAACATATAAAGGCAGACTTATTACACCTGACTTCTCAATGGAGACTAACAACCACACAGGCTTTGACAGATATGCTACAGACTCTACAAGACCACAAATCCCAGCCACCAGATCAAACTACTATACTCAGCAAAACTTTCAATCATGAAAATAAGACATTCCACAATAAAGCCAAATTTGAGCAATATCTATCTACGAATCAATCCATTATCTTTGGCTCTTTCTCCTGTTGGTTTACCTTGTCCAACTTTGTTATGATGAATTTTGTTTTATCTTATTTTATTCTATGTTTGCTGTTATCTCTTAAAGCCTTTCCTTTCCAATGAAAGACAAAAAAGGAGTAGATCTGTATGGGAAGGATGAGAGGTAGAGAAGAACTCAGGGAGTAAAGGGAAGGGAAACTGTAATCAGGATTATTATATGAGAAAACAGTCTATTTTAAACTAAAGGGAAAAAAAACATATTACATATTTTATAAGAGTGGAGAAGCATGTTATACAATATACATATAAGAGGCATTATCCTGAAGAAGGAGACAGGGAAAAGAAAGAAACAATAAAGCAAACAACAGTTGTTACACAAAGAAGATACAAATTTTCCAGTGAAAGTAATGTTTGTAGAATGAATGTAGCAATACTGTTCATGCTTATTATAATTTGTTATTCTTGGCACTAAATTAAACTATATATGCCTGCTGCGGGATGTCTTTCTGTATGCAGTGAATATGTGTTTCTCTGATTGGTTGATAAATAAAGCTGCATTGGCCTATGGCAGGGCAAGATAGAGGCAAGTGGGAAAATCCAAGAGAGGTAGAGGAAAAAGGAGAGAGGGAGAAGAATCCAAACTACTGTCCAAGGAGCAACATGTAATGGGATGCAGGTAAAGCCATAGAACATGTGGAAATACATAGATTAATAGTTATGGGTTTATTTAAGATGAAAGAGCTAGCTAGCAAGAAGCTTGTCATAGACCATACAGTTGGTAATTAATATAAACCTCTGAATGATTATTTTATAAGCAGCTGTGGGACCTCAGGGCTGGGCAGGAAACAGGAAAATTTCCAGCTGCATTTTGGTGTCCAACATGGTAGCAAGAATTTCTACCCCAAAACGTGAGAAAGCTTTAAAAGAAAGGTTATAAAATGGAGCCAAGATTTACCCAGGCAATATGACATTGAGTCTTCTTATTCATTACTTAATGTAATGAAATTGAAATTAAATATCTTTTATGTACAATAATACACATTTGTTTGGGGACACATGTATTTCATTAGTTTTTTACCATAAAAAGCAAAAAATTAAATGTAGAATTCAAAAAAAGGAGGAGAAGTTGGACCTTATTTCAGTCAGGATACATAGTACACAAATGTGAAATTTTCATAGAATAAGTAAAATAAATTAACAATTTCAATCATGTATATAGAGGTAAGAGAGAAAGGAAGGAATGAAAAGTGGGACATAACAATATACACTCACACTGAGGAAATACAGGGAATAGGGCCATGGTTTAAAATATATACTCAATCAAATTGGAAAATGTAAGAGAAATGGATAATTTTCTCCATATATACTACTTACTAAAGTTAAATCAAGATTGGATACACAATTTAAACAGATTTATCACTCTTAGTGAAATACAAATAGTCATTAAAACTTTCCCAAGCAAAAATAGCCAAGGACCAGGTGGTTTTAGCCCAGAATTCTACTTGACTATCCAATAAGAGTTAGTGGCAATGTTCCTCAAGTTAGTCCATAAAAAATAGAAAGAACAATGCCCAGTTCATTTTATGAGACCATAATCACCATGATACACAAATCCACACACTAATAGTAGGCCCCATTGCTGACGAAAACACCTATACAAATCATTGAACATGGAGAATTCAAAGCTGATGCCTACCTAGAGCATTCACCTCTACATTCCAGTATCTTTGATACAGGATGGGCCTCTGAACACTATCAAAAGAGAAGCATAAACACAAAGCCAACCTCAAACCCTTTGTCTACAATGATATCTGCCTTCAAGATGTGCTAGGACAATGGTGGCACAAAGTTTGTGAGAGTAACCGACCAATATCTGATTTGATTTAAAGCCTACTCCATGAGATGGACCCACACCTGACACTGCTTGGATGGCCAAGAACTCAAGACTAGATATTCCAAGGACCTAGGGTAAAACCAAGTAATATTGGTCAAAAAAAAAAAACAGGCAAAATAAGTAGTGATAAAATAATTCCTAATGCCATCATGCTATATTCATATGCTTGTGCAGCCACCATCAAAAAAGTTCCCTCCTGCAGCAGATGGGAGCAAATAAGGGATCCACAGCTTTGACATTACACAGGGAGTGAGAGATCTTAGAATGCTCAGCCTATCTATGATGTCATCTTCAAGTCATTCCTCTCAGAACGCAGGGAATCCAGAAGAAGAGGAGGTTGAAAGATTGTAAGAGCCAAAGGTGATGGAGGACATCAAGAAAACAAGGCCCTCTAAATCAGCATGAGCAAAGATTGTATGAACTCACAGAGGGGCTGAAGCAGCAAGTACAAGGCCTACACAGGTCTGCACCAAGTCCTTTGTGTATATTATGGCTTCTAGTTTAGTGTTTATAAAGGACTCTTGAGCATGTGAATGAGTGGGTGTCAGATTTTTGTGTCTTCTTTTGGGCTCTATCTTCTTTTGGTCTGTCTTGTCCATCTTTGATTGTCATATTTTTTGCTTTATCTTAATATATTTTATTTTGTAGATTTCAAAAATGATTGTATGAATGAATGAATGATTGAAAATCAGCTACTAGGTAAAAGTTAATAACTCACCTATTATTTGTACCCAATAGAAGAGAAAAAAAAAGTTTTTCCCAATGGAGTGACACTGGGTATATCAATCCCTCCAGGGCAGGCCTCATAAACAAGAGTAGTTGACCAACATGTACTGCAAAGTTTTTTGTGTACTTTTATTTTGTTACAGGTTTTTTTTAGGGGGGGCGGTGTTTTGCTTTCTTTTCTTTCTTTTTTTGGGGGTCGGGGTTGTTGTATTGTATTTTGTCTTTTTATTAAGAAAGAACTTAAAGATAAGGTGTGTGAGGAGGGGGAAGGACCTGGAGGTATTTTGAAAGGGGAAGAATTTGACCAAGATATATTAAAATTTTGTTTTAAATAATAAAATAAAATAGAAAAATTAATTAAATGGATAAATAAAATAAAAGTGCAAAATAAAAAAAATACTTATGAATAGGAAATATAAATGTTAAGTTCTAGATTTTTACTCTATTAAAAACATAGGTAATAAATTACTCATATAAGAGATAAATGGATATAGTTGTATGTATAAGGCAAATTTTTAATGACAAGTATTCTGGAAAGTAATTTTTAAATGTTTGAGATAACCAGAGTTAAATTAAAACTAAAGTGTACTAAATCTAGATATCTAGTAAGGCATGGGAAATAGAAACCAAAGATGCTATTCAAAGCTAGAGAATATTTGCTTTGATATTTAATATTTTCTGCTTCAATATTAGTATAAATACTGAGGGAATTTAGTATTTTGGTGTGTTCCATTCAGTACTAGTCACTCTGGAAGCATGACGTCATTTTCTTCTTGTGTGTGTATGTGTTCCTGTGCATTCATACGTGTATATATATAAGGCATGTGCATTTGTGTTTTTAATATCCAGATGTCAACATTTGGTGTAGCCCAATTAACCTTAATTTTTAAGACAAAATCTTTCTTGTAAAGCTCACAGGTCAGTTACAATTGCTAGCCAGCAAACCTCAAGGATCCTCCTGTGTCTACTTCTCCTGTGTTGACATTAGAGACCTGTGTAGCAGAATCTCAAAAGGTCTGATTAATAAAACAAACCCGGAGCCAAGTATTGTGGTGAACACTGGAAGATCAGAGAGACAGAACAAGCCACAGCTAACCTCACCTGACGAAATTCTCAGCTGACCTTGTTTCCTCAGACTGGAAGCCTCTGTGTCCTCATATCCGAATGGCTCTCAGCTCAACTTACTGCTCAAAACCTAAAAGCTTAAACAGTCAAATGCTTAACCAGCCAAATGCTTCTAGTTCCTGGTCCTCATGCCTTATATATCTTTCTGCCTTTTACCATCACTCCCTGGGATTAAAGGTGTGTGCCACCATGCTTGGGTATATCCTTGAACAGATGGATTTCTGCCTCTGGAATGCTAGGATTAAAGGCGTGTGCTACCACTGCCAATCCTAAGTATCTAGTGGCTTTTCTGTTTTCTGACCCCAAATAAATTTATTAGGGTGCACAATATTTTGGGGAACACAATACCACCACAGACCTGTACTGCCTTACTCAAGTTCTGTGCAGGTGCCGGGGATAGATGTCCAGTCTTCAGGCTTGCAGAGCAAGCCTTGTACCTACTGAGTCATCTTCCTATCTTTTGTATACCACATAAAGTTTTTAAAGCATGGAAATGTATAGATTTGTTAAATACAGAAAGGAAACTGAGAAAACCCTTTTAACATAATAGTTTAAATTTTGTAACTTAATTTCTTTGGAATAACAATAGGATATAAAACTTCAATTAAGTGTGATCAGAGTCCATGAGAACAATATACCAAAAATTCACTACAAACAAATATAGCAAAATAAAAGCCACAATTTTTCTGTATGCTAAACACAGGTTAATTTTAAGGGCTTTATTTTTCATGTTATCTGAATTTCATTTTATATGGAAGACAAAATAATAAAGCACAAATAGTACATGTTTGTGACAGGACTTTGGAGTGCAGAGCAGACTTAGACAAAATTTAAAGGTAGGTGTGCGTTTGGCTCACTATACAAACCTCCCCAGAAAAAAATTGATATTGTTCAATAGTTGAAAGTTTCACAGTAACACTTTCTTCATGAACACTATAAAACTGGTATAATCTAAATTATAGATCAGCTGAATTAATGTTGAAAATGAAAATAAATACATTAATAATGATGCTAATGTCCTAAGAGATATTAGACTGAAGACTATCACCAATATTTATTTTAAAAAATTCTTGAGACACATGGGTAACAGCCTCTACTAAAATTGGGTTCAGTCAAGTGAATCAGTTAATTTAATGCACAAGGAATAACCCTCTGTTTTGGCAAATAATATCCATTTATTAAGTTCATAATTCTTTAGATTTGTATGGGGTCGTGCTAGTGGAGCACTTCGGGTTTGTTTAGCTTATTAAATGCTTTAATCAGCAGGCAGCCTCACAGGGAACATTCTCCTCAGCTGAACGTGACACATCACTTACTGTCACATTTTGTTATCTAGAACTCTTCTCCAGACTTGGCTAAGATTGAAAAGTTATTTAATTCATTTCAATAAACTAGTTATTAAGCACCTCAAATGCAGCTTGTTTGTCTAAACACTGGAAATTTTAGTTTTATTAATTACAATATAATTATATTTCAAACAAAACGGCTCAAAAAACAATACTAACAACATATATCTATTCATTACAAATGCAGTATAATAGAGAGTAGAAATGCTAAAAAAATTCATTCCCTACATTCATCCACAGCTTTTACAGTATGACTTTTTCAACAGCCATCAGTAAGCATTGAATTTCCTAATCTCCCTTTATATTTGAACTGGAATTATGAAGACTTTTTCATTGAAAGAATATGGAAGAAAGTTTGGGCAGTGCTATATTCAGCTTGCCTCTCTTAGTGTCTGCCCCACCATTGAGCTCTCTATTTGGGCTTTGATGAGATGCCAAATCTTTTTATATTGAATAGGAGTGACTACTTATGCCTCAATGTATGCAATATATGCAATACAATATTCATTGTACTTTACAACTTGTCATCTATATCATTAACAACTTCAGGAATGTGTCATCAATATACTTTATCATGGCTAGTACTTTTTATATCTCCACCATGACTATCCTATTTCTACTGTACTAATGTGTAGCTACTACAGATAATTATAAGTAAATTAAATAAAATATACAAATCAAAGAAGATAGAAATTGGAGTAAAATAAATGATGGTAGGTATTGGCCGACTCTACATTTCAAATTAAACATTTCATAAGTGAACTAATAGACATTTTCCTTAGTTACCCTATTCAATAGAAATTAGGACACTCTGGGGTAGTTAGGGATGTGTGATAAAGAATGCTTTATCTCCACAGTCTTAATAATGTATTTAAACTCCCTGTGCCTCAGTGTTTTTATGTGTAAAAGGAAATAATGTTTCTTCCTTTAGCAGATAATGTAATTACTAAATTTCATAATTCTAACCATGTGGAGTTGTTAAGGTACTGAATAGTTTGGTGATTAAACATATAATTTTATGCTTTACAATAGATGCTCATGAGTTTATTAATATATGTTCTGTTTTGTGATATCAGTTGATTTTGATAAGTATTCTTAGTATTCAAGATTTATTAAAAATCAAGTATCATTTTATAAGTTCACTCAAAGAAGAGATGTTTTCCAACTTATCTTCAATCTATTTTTAAAGCCATCATAAAATCATTGGAATGTGTTGCTAAAATAAAAATATGAGACATGTTCTGTAAAATTATTCTTCTAATTGTGTGAAATAACTTACATATAATTCAATCACTCATGTAGAAAAAATTGGCAAAAAAATTCAAATACATTAAAATTGACTGTATCTCTGCTGGGAAACATTTATTTCTAAGGAGACATTTGCTCTCTGGAACGTTTTTACAAACAGCCTTTGCTTTTGCTGTCTGTCCATTATGTCTCCTTAAAATGATGGTGGAATCTCCATCCACAGGAGAGCCGAGAACTCTGCCTTCACCATGCACACAGTGGAAGGCATTGTAGCTTGACTTCAAATGTCAAGGTCTGCCATTGTCATGTCACTGGTCAGAGCTTGTGTTGGGTGAATTTGAGGACTGTTGAATACTTTGGTAAAGTATCTTAAAATCACTCTGCTCAGATTTCTGGAGATTCCTATATGCCAGTTCTTCTCAGGTCATTATTTTCATTTCTCACTGTGACTTGTTCTGGAAGCTATCCTGTGAGAGCCCAGAATTTTTTTCATCCTGTTATCATTAGATCTTCTCAGTTTCAAAACTTCCACAATATTTATTAGAAAAATTTTACCTAATTTGAGATGACTCTTGTAGATAGATATCAGCTGCATTAAGGAGGGTGACAGTTTTAATAAAATCATCTGGCAGAGATAAGAGGGTGCATGCGAGCACATTCTATCTTGAAAGCACACACTGTAGCTGAGAGGTGCAGCCTGGTTCCTGGAACATAATGCCTATTTCTACACCCAGTTAATGCTGCTCTATTTTTGCTATGTCTTCTCAACAGTTTCTAAAGTGAGATGCCTACAAACAAGCAGTGAAAAGACTGAATATGAGAATGAAGAGTGTGGACACAGAAGTAGGAACTCTCATCTGCCACTTGCCCTATATTTAGTTTATCATTAGGAAATATGGATTCATAAATTCTGGTTCGCTTCAGGCTACTGATTCTAGAACACAGTTATTTCTTATAATGAGTAACTAGTAACTTCTTAACCCTTTGATTGATTTGACACCAGGGGCTTATTGATCT